TTCTGGCCAGTACGTACTTTCGGTACAAACATTCTCATCGTGTGACCTTGCTGTTCACAAGTGCAAAGCAAAAGTTGTCCCATTTGAATCACGTGGCCATCAGTCACCGATGGAGAGCCATACCTTAAGACTGCCATTCGTTCTTTGTCACACCTTGATTCCGATCACGCCATACGGATAGCGCGCATGACAGTTCGTTTCCCTTTAGACCATCGCAAGTCGGAAAAAACATCCTAACCCACTGTTCCCAGAGAACGACCTTTACCCATTAATATCGGCCCAAGATAGCTCCACTACTTTCTGCAGTACACCAACAGTTCTGGTAGCGATCCCTTGGATGAAGCGAAACGGGCTGTGCTAGCGGCGTTCAGTGCTGTCTGCCGATATAATCGACTGAACAGTAGTGCCGTCGAGAGAACTGTTTCACACACACAGTCCATACCAGCCACAACGAGCGAGATAGCGCAAGCAAATGTTCCGAATGCTAAACAGTGAAAAGTCTGAAGAAACACCGAGAGCTCTGGTGGACATCGAGAGCTCAGCAGATGAAGACTTTTGCTACCGGAAACAGCCACCTTCGATAGAAGTTGATGTGACCGACCGGCCAGAAGGGAGCAACGGTCAGAGAAACGAAGGCGGAGAACCCCCGGTGACCCAGCTGACAAAGCCCACTGGTGCGATATGGAGTAAAGAGAAACTGCCTGGAGAACCGGGCATGTCGACAGCTATTCCTGTCTTCAGAAAGGGTATGCGGATTTTGCGTGAAAACTACGTGGCATCAGCTTGGTAGCTGTGGCATCGAAGGTGCTCTCTGGTCCTACACTTCGAAGGTTGACTGAACACGCAGAGACAGACCCTCGAAAACCAAACTGGGTTCCATCCGGCAAGGGGATGTATCAGTCACATTTTCACTCTCTGACAGATTCTGGAATGGTGATACAGCTTCCATCAAACAACAATGGTGGTCCCATTTGTCATGAAACCTGCCTTTGACTCTGTCGACCGTCGGGCAACATGATAGTTCCTATGGTGTAAAGGTGTCCCCCATAAACTCCTGACCCTCTTCAAGATATCGTACGCCAACTCCCACAAAAGTACTAAGTCCAAGTTCAATACATCGAGTGGTGTCAGGCAAGGCTTTCCTCCTTCACCTATCCTCTTCAACTTTGCCATGAATACTATTATGGGAGACTCATCACTAGTCCCTAAGGCCTGTAGAGTCAAAATTCTCCAACGGTATTTGCACAGATATCGAGTACGTGCACGATCTGACGCCAATGTTATGCAGACCATGCCAAATCGGTAAGACCCAGGACACCGGCACTTTTTACGGTTCATTGGAACCTACCGGCAGTATGAAGACCGTGAGAACACGCGACAGAGCGACGAATCAGAGCTTACTCGTTTCACACAGCCACATGAAATCCCATGAATAGCTCAAATGTGCGGTCTGTCCTACCTGCTTCACATGAGTCAGAAGATGAGACCGCTCATTTAGACGGCTCATAAGCCACAAGGCAAAAATTCAATACTTGTTTAGGATTATTATTGAACTCCTGACATCCCAATATTCGTCGACGTTCTGCGGGGTCTTCACTATAGAACATAACATAACTCCAAGTGAAGTGCGTACCAGTCAACGGGAAATCCAAAACTCTCTATCTGACTAGTGACTTCATAGAGTTCCGACTTTATCGCCTGGTCGGAATGTTAGAAAAACGAGTTAATCTACCTCGATGTTCTTGATAACCTGAATTTTCTGTCTCCTTAGGGCCTTTAGTTTTTCTGTTTCGTCTAATGTCAGTTCTTAAATTATCGGATCCTTAGCAAACTGCGAAAAATATAACCAACCATCATATTCCATAACCATTAATCATCCAAACGGAGTCAGCAGTGTGGGCGCGAAGCAACCAAACGGGCAGCAGAAAAATCAGGACTATGATTGGTCGATAGGAAGCACGGATTCAGGTTGACATCAATCAGCTGTTTGTCCAAATTTTCCGAATAGAGTTTGCTCCTGTATTTCAATGGACTTCATTTTAGCTAGAAAGCGCAAGTTAGGAAGTGGTGCAGTACCATTCAAGAAATTCTCAGCCTTGGGTCGCAAGCTTAGTAGAGAAGTGACCGTTATCAAATGACATCTAAAGGCGACCTGGAACGTCTCTTAAGTGCAGCGGAGATAGTGTCCTGTAAGGTTGCCCACTCTTCCTCGCAGTTGAACTTTGCCAAGCTGCTAAACCCTCAGCATTGTGAACCTAATTTTACGTCCGTTCAAACCTTTTCTTTTTCATTCATTCATTCATTTAAACTTTTTTCACTTCCCTTATCTCCCCAGTCTGTAAACATGCTTTGTGATGTCTATCGGCACAGCTCAGCCAGTCGTCCCCGAGGTCTTCGGACGAGTTTGTTTCGACCGCCTTCATGGACTTTCTCATCCGGGAATCAGAGTGACACAAAAGTCGATTAGTGCACGTTTTGTGTGGCCCCACATGAAAAGGATCTAACAGCCTGGACCGAACACTGCATCGCCTGTCAACCCAGCAAAGTAACTCGGCGTACGAGCTCAACTCTTGGCTCACCAGCAGTCCTTGATGCTCGGTTCAGACAAGTCCATCTTGATATCGTTGGTCTAATTTCCCCATTAGATGGTGTTACTCATACTCTCAACTCGGTTGATCGTTTCACCCTTTGGCAGCAGCAGTACCCATTTCGGATACTTCAGCTGAAACGATAGCCTTTACATTTTCGCAGCTCTGAGTGAGTAACTTTGGTATACCTTCCTCATTCACTATCGACTGCGGTTTACAATTTCGGTGTGGTCTCTTCCGCGAGCTTTCTACACTTTTCAGTTTTCATCACATTTCGACAACCGCGTATAACCCCTGTACTAGATGAACTTTTCCATTGCTACCTCAAAGCTGCATTGACCGCCCAAATGAATCATTCTTCATGGTCCTTTTCCTAACCCCCCATTTTTCTTGCCGTTCGTTCCCCCATTAGGCAAGGTCTTCAATGTTCACCAGCCCAGCTATTATATGGTACAACTTTACGTTTCTCTGGTGATCTACTTTCCCCTTTCGGCGCAGAGCCCGGTTCGGCTGCACATTCCTCGCCCGCCTGAAACAGCATATGCCAGATTTTTTAACGACGCCGACAAGGTGGTCAACACAAAAAGACCGAATCTCAACCCATTTATTTTCTTCGTCATTTGCATTTGAACGACATGAGGCAACTAAGAAAGCACTTAAACGCCGTTATGATGTTCCCTTCAAGGTCATCGAACGTCACTCCATACGCTTCGTTTTAAAGGGAACTGG